GATTCATCTAAAGTCAATCTCAATTTTAAAAATTATCTCTAATCAAATCTAGATGGATCAAAACTTACTGAAAATAGATTATTTTTGTATCTATATCAATTAACATATTTCAATACAAAATTTATTTAATTAAAAACATAAAAAAAGAGAAAAAAAGCAAATTAAGGTGCGATATCAATATGTTTATTTTTTTTTTACAATATTACTTTAGTAAAAAAAACAAAAAAAGAAAAAGAAAAAGAAAACTTATTGGGGTATTACATGAACATCCTAATTGAATGGAGATCTATTGGATACGAATTATTTTGTCATTCCTATCCATTAGCTCATTTCATTGCAAAATTTATTTCATTAAATAATAAAAAATGATAAAAAGTTAATTGAGGTGTCATGTGGATACTTACATAGATTTTTTGTTCACAAAATTTATTTAAATTTAAACAAAAAAAGAACAAAAAAAAAAGTAATACGTCGAAACCTTAAATAAAAGTCGAATAAAAATCACAAAGAGTTAAATTTATATAATATATGAATAGATTGATTATAATTATGGATAAATTTAATATTTTATTTAATTAATATGTTAAATAATATATTTATTAATATAATACATATAAATAAAAATTAAATAATTAATTAAAAATAGTAAAAATAAGACGGAACACCATAAACCCACTCCGACTCGACCTTGATTTAAAAAAACATCTTGACTCAATCTTAAATAAAAAATGCACATGTAAGATTTGAACTAATCAAAGTTTATCGAATACGAATTATTTTGTTATTCATATCTCCATTAACATTTTCTTTAAAAGTTTATTTATCAACTTATTTTGTTGTAAATTATTCTATTAAAAAATAAAAATGCAAAAATACAAAAGGCAACAAAAGCGATATAGAGTGCAACATGTACACATTTATTACTTTTTTCTCAATAAAATTATCTAATTAGAATTAAAAAAAAAACAAAAATTAAAAAAAAAATGACGAAAATCCCAAAAAAAAAAAAAAGAAGAAGAAAATCGAGTTATCACCCCACATTAGCAATGTGAGCTTTCCTTAATATCATTTTCTTAAAAAAATATCAAATTAACAAAAAGGAAAAATAACAAAAAAATTTAATCAATAATATCAAATAAGTCTAACATTAAAAAAGTTAAAATCTTTAAAAAGGAAAAAATAGCAAAAGTCAATAAAAATGATAAAAAATAGAAAAAAAAAGAAAATAATTTGACATATGGCATATTCTATCAAGTTAGGAAGATAAAAAATTTTAAATCTAAAAAATATTTATCAAATACATAAAAATAAAAAAATATATTCATATCTCCATTAACATTTTCTTTAAAAATTTATTTATCGGCTTATTTTGTTGTGAATTATTATATTAAAAAAAAAAATGCAAAAATACAAAAGGCAACAAAAGCGATATAGAGTGCAACATGTACACATTTATTACTTTTTTCTCAATAAAATTATCTAATTAGAATTAAAAAATAACAAAAATTAGAAAGAAATGATGAAAATCCAAAAAAAAAAAAAAAGAAGAAAATCGAGTTATCACCCCACATTAGCAATGTGAGCTTTCCTTAATATCATTTTCTTAAAAAAAATCAAATTAACAAAAAAGAAAAATAACAAAAAAATTTAATCAATAATAGCAAATAAGTCTAACATTAAAAAAGTTAAAATATTTAAAAAAGAAAAAAATAGCAAAAGTCAATAAAAATGATAAAAAAAATAGAAAAAAAGAAAATAATTTGACATATGGCATATTCTATCAAGTTAGGAAGATAAAAAATTTAAAATCTAAAAAATATTTATCAAATACATAAAAATAAAAAAAATAATAAAAAAGTAAACACATGACATACCCTTAATATCAAGTGTGTCTCATAAAAAAATTTAAATCTTGAAAAAAAGTAAAAAAAAAAAGCTTGATACAAAATGGGATCCACCTTTAAAAATAAAATCTTTAAAAAAATTATTAAATGTAAAAATATTGACAAAAAAACTAAAAAAAAAATCAAGCACATGGTACAACCAATGAATAGCATTGTTCATTAGTACATTTATAAAATTTAATGTATGGATTAAAAAGAATAATATTTTGTAAAATTTGTTAAGTATATTATTTATAAGAAAGTGCACAAAAGGATAGAGTAAAAATAAAAAAACAAGACTTAACAATAGATGTGTCACCGAATCAAGTCGGGTTGAACTAAGTTCTCATTTTCAAAGTTTCATTCATCCAATTATAACTGTTTAAATAATATTAAAATCATTTTAAAAATTTTAAATATATTTTAAAATAAAATAAAAACAAAATTTTATTAACATATAATAACAAATGATCGAGTCAATCAAGGCTTAAAATTTTATCAAAGCTCGATATATGAGCTTAATGAAAATTCAACACATGAACAAATTTAATTATAAAAAATAATATTTTGATATTAAAATGTAATTTTCATTAAAAAAATACTACTATAATATTCTAATAATATGGAGCTTAGGTTCAACTTCTTCATTAAGATAAGTTTCACTCACAAAAAGAAAAACATACTAACATTTATTAGTCTTTTTTAATGAGTATATTTCATAAGATTTCTTTGAAACATGATTGGTTGAAATTTCCATTAATGAACAAATTGTGTGATTTATTATTTGGAGGCATGAAATTAATAATATCCATAAAGTCATTCGTCTCCAAGAGGAAAGGCCACCATATCAATTGTGAAATTCATAACTTCAACTCAAAAAAAAAAAAAAAAAAAGGGTACTTTTATTCCTTGATGAAGTCCATAAAACTATAACTTAATTTCCTAAATTTCATCTTTTTTTTTTCTAATTTCTATTTAAAAAATTACAAATAATATATAAAATGCATACAATTATCATTAAATCAAATATTTTGATGTAAAAAAAAAATTATATCGATCATATGTACCAACCAAAGAAAACTTGTCACTGATACTATATTTGTCACATGGCTTTAATTAACTGGCATTAATTGAGAATAAAATGAAATCCTATATAAATGAATAAATTTAATATAAAATTAAACAAAATTCTAAGTAAAATATTTATTAAAAAAAAACTTTTGGTATGCACGATTCCATATAGTACTACTTTAATAAATCATAAATCACAGCTTGAAAACTGATTTTCATAAGTGCTATGGGGCCTTGGAATATATAGTCTATCAACTATGGCAGAGCCTAATAACTATTCATTCATTGGTTGAAGACACAGATGCATTGCCCCTTATGATATGCTGCAATTTGTCTAATTCAACATTAATTTTTTTTTATAATATAGTTAGGACTTAGGAATATCTAACTTTTGGTTGAATCTAGTATCTTCCTTAAGCAATTTTAAGAATAATTTTTTTATATTGATTTAATAATAAAAATTTTATTCAAAATGTTTTTCATAAAAATTGAAATACTTAATCTGATTTCTTTATAGATATTTTAAAGAAATCTTCTTTAAAACGATGCATTTACAAGTAATGCATTCGTAAAATGGAAATTTTGCGTAATGAAAACTTTTTTTTTTTAATAAATATATAAAAAAATATTAATACAACTGATAAATCATATCATATATTGTACTATATACGAACTTTTGTTGGTGGATTCCATTTCCGGCTTTCTGCTCTCGTCATGGTTCACAGGCTCACAGTGAAAGCAGCTTATCTTTAACCAGGCTAAGAGGTTTGACATAATTGCAAGAATCCCAGCACAGGGAAAATAAAATGATGCAAATCCCAATAATAAAAAATGTTTGTCTGTCTGTCTGTCTGTCACATATTTTTATCCTCTTGTGTTTCTTGGAAATATATCTTCACTTTTTGTCTTTTTCCTTCCCCCTCGTTCTCCATTCTCGATGGCTTGGATGACCTTTCTACCTCTTCTATCATAGGAAATTGAAACGTTTATGTTTTACTGTTATCATGATTTACATTGAAAGATTGGGTATTGTTCAAAGTTTACTTCTCCTTTGAAAGGGGGGGGGGGGGGGGGGTGAAACAGAGAAAGTGTTATACTTTCTTGTTTTTTCTCTCTCTTTGTTAATATGTTAATTGATGTTTTTGTTTATATTTAACATATATAATAGCATCAATTATTAAAATATAAATATAATATTAATTATAAAATATATTTAAATTTTAAATATGGATGCGATATATTTAATATATATTATATATAAAATGATATGATTAATATGTATATAATTAATTTTTTAAATATAATATAAATAAATATAAATAATATAAATATATATGAATAGATATAATAAATATGAATATATATAATAACACAATTAAAATAATAAATAACTATAAATTATTAATTATTTACAATTTAATAGAATTGATATATTAATAATATAAAAGATACTTACATATTAAAAAATAAACAAATTTAATACTCATTTAATATATATATTTAAATTTAAATTTATATTGCATAACTATATTAGTTTTTAATATATATTTAAAATGATAAACTATTAAAAATTAAAAAATAAAATAACAATAGGATCAATATTAATATTTATATTGTATTTATATTATTAATATAAAAATAATTTTATAATAATTATTAAACGAGTATTATAATTAAATGTTTAACATAATTTTTATATGATATTAAATAATTAATTAAGTATTATAATTAAAAGATTAAAAATTAAAATAATTTTTATAAGTTTATATTAAATTAAAATAAATATAAAAATATATTAAATATATTAAATGCATTAAACATGTTAAATATATATTTATAAAATAAAATAAAATTAAATATATTATTCGTATCATATCATATATTTAAATATATCAACATATATATATATATATATATGATATGAATTATATTATTTTAAAATTTACGATAAAATAAATAAATATAAAAAATATATTTTTTAAAATATGTATATAATTTTTTTTAAACATTTTGATATTATAAAATCGAATCGTACATGATATTTACAGATGTACCTTTTGCCCTCTCCGACTCAGCATGCAGTCCCTCTTTTCCTTCTCTCTCTGAGTTGGAACTTGGAACATTTCATTCTTGGACCTCCCAAATAGACGGTTTGGTCCTTAATTCTGCATATTTTCGCATTCTCTTTCCGTAGTATACCCCATCTGAATTCATGAGTCATCTCTTGGGATAAAACTGAAAACCCCATTATAGCTACAGGCAAAGTTCTCTTCTTTCATCTTCTTCTTCTCTGTTTAAAGTGATCATCAAGAAATTTAAGCAGTTTTCTCTCTCTGTCTGTGTCTGTCTTTCCCTCTGACCCTTTTATTAGTTAAAAACAGTCAAAGAGAGTGTGTGTGGGTTTATCAACGTGTTTTGAGTGTGGTTCACTTTTAAAAACAACAATGCCATCAGCCACCATGAGCCACCTTCGTGCTCTCATTCTCCTCCTTATATGTACCATCACAAACACCACTTCCTTCCAATTCCACCGCCACCTCCTCCACCAGCCTTTTTTTCCTCGTAGCTCCCTTCCACCAACCTACCTTCCTTCCTCCTCTTCCCCATTTCCCTCGCCACAATCCCAACCTCATCACAACCAACAACAACAACAACAACAACAGCAGCCCAAATATCCTTTCTCCACAACTCCACCTTCCACCCCTCAAAATCCTTTCTTTCCTTCCTTCCCTTCCCCTCCACCCCCTCCTCCACCACCCTCCACACTCCCAACTTTTCCCGCCAACATCTCCTCCCTGCTCGTGCCCCACTCTCCCTCCCCCTCATCCCACCGCCGCCATCTCCTCCTCATTTCCCTCTCCTCCGCCCTCCTCATGGCGGCCATCATCCTCTGTCTTGCCGCCCTTACGCTCTACCTTCGCCATCACAACAACCAAAACACTTCCTCCGAGGACAAAGCTTCCCGTTCAGACTCCCTCCGCTTATTCCCTCCCAACATTCCCCCCTCAGATGCCTCCACAAAGCCACCACCTCCACCACCACCATCTCAACAACCGCCACGTTATGTCTCAACCAACCGCAGCTCGGAGTTTCTTTACTTAGGCACCCTTGTAAACTCTAGAGTAGACCCAGAAAAAACAACCCTTTCTAGCAATGGAGGTATCAAGCTGGGAGTTTCATCTTCTCCTTATCAAAAGCTTGGCTCTCCAGAGCTGAATCCATTGCCACCATTGCCAAAAGTCCAAACTTTTCAAAGTGGACAACAGTTTCTCCAAAATGGGCAAATGGGTAGTTTTGAAAACAATGTTGAAGATGAAGAAGAGTTTTTTTCACCAAGAGGCTCTTCAGGTAGAAGAGAGAGTCCGACACCAGTAAGAATAGGATCAAGTTCAAGGGGGGAGTTTCAAGGTGAGAACTTTGGGAGTAGAAGCTTCAACTCAAGAACAGCTTCTTACCCTTATTCCAACTCTTGTTCACCTACAAATTCATTCTTGAACTCAAGTCCTGTGAGTCAGAGATCCAAGTCTCCAGATACTGTTGTTCCTATCTTTACAGTGAGAATAAAAAACCCATCTCCAACTTCACCTTCATCCACAAAGTTATCTTCATCGTCTTCCGAAAGGGATTCACCAGATAGAAGTTCAAGTTTTTCGGGTAAGAAAAAGGAATCTCCATCAATGATTGTGCTTAAGAAGCTTCCACCACCACCTCCGCCGCTTCCTCCACTGCGTTTCTGGGAAGTTCCTGTGGCAATGAACTCTGTTTACGAGGCTAATTCAGGGGGGCCTCCGGTTCTTGTTGGGCCTTCCAATCCGGTGGTGTTGCAGAATTTGGCGGTGAATGAGCAATTGAAGAAGAATGAGGGTTTAGAGAGGAGTGAAGAGACCCCTAAACCGAAATTGAAGCCTTTGCATTGGGATAAAGTTAGGGCGAGTTCGGATCGGGCCATGGTGTGGGATCAAATAAAAGCAAGCTCTTTTCAGTGAGATACCATTACCCACATCCCTCTTTTAGTCCTTTAGTATATCTACTTTGCTTAAAATTTTTTCTTCTTTTGGTATCAACCTTTATTGCTTTTTGAGTGTTTGGTAAGTTGTAGAATGCAAAAATGGTGCTTGCAGATTGAATGAGGAGATGATTGAGACACTTTTTATGGTGAATAATTCAAATTTGGCCACGAAAGATAACGGTGGTGGTCGCCGGCAGATTCTGTCCTCTGTGAGTCAGGAAAATTGCGTACTTGATCCGAAGAAGTCTCAGAACATTGCAATTTTATTGAGAGCATTGAATGTGACCATTGATGAAGTCTGTGAAGCACTTATGGAAGGTAATCATTTCATACGCATGGCAAATACAATGAATCGGTAAAAGATAGAGTAATAAAGGAGAAATAATTTTATTCTACCTCTAAACTGCTTTAACTTTTCTGCAAACAGGCAATTCAGACGCACTTGGGACAGAGCTCCTGGAAAGCCTATTAAAGATGGCTCCAACCAACGAAGAAGAGCGTAAGCTGAAGGAGTTCAGTGATGAATCCCCTTTTAAGCTAGGTTCCGCTGAGAAATTCCTCAAGGCAGTGCTTGACATACCTTTTGCCTTCAAGAGGGCTGGTGCAATGCTTTACATTGCTAATTTTGACTCTGAAATTGAGTACCTGAAAAGGTCTTTTGAAAATTTAGAGGTAAGTCTTAATTTCCAGTCTGTATGCACTTATGTGCTTCTGTTTTATAGGGCAACGACCACTAAGATGTCTGTTATGAATCTTATAATTATCGTTTGTTCTTCATCATTGATACTTTTCATTTTTCCCTTGTGGACCATAAGCAAAACTTATTCAAGGTAAAACATGTTCCATTAGGACTGTATCGACTCAATTGCAGTTGCTTACTACAAGTTAAAAGCTAACAAGTTTAAAATGGGAAGAGTTCTCAATTGTTTCTCTTCATTGTTACTTATTTTTTCTCTACTTTTAGGAGATCATATTTGCTATTACAAGAAGCTTGTGGGGAGCTTCAACTTTGTCTCATTAATCTATCATATTTCTGTCTTTACCTTGTATCTCCAACTGAGAGTCAATTATTTACCCCTATATTCCTGATTTTCCCGATTAAGAAGCTTGCCTACCATCTTACAGGATAACAATTGTGCCCTTCATCTTTGGCCTTGTAGTCTTCCTAATCATAAACCTTGGATTCAATTCAGTGGTATTAAACTCTGCATGCAAAGCAGCTAGTGGATAGATGGTATTCCAGCTAAGTAATCTTCGAAACCGTATGCTTGGATTCAATTCAATGGTGGTAATCTCTGTCTGTAGTATTCCATGCAGTTGCTGGATACATATCACTTACAAGTGAAATTTGGTTATCTTTAGGTGGTTTCCACTTAAGAATTGGGGAAATAGGGGACAGTTGAACACCTATATTTCTATTGAAAATATTTAAAAACGTGCCAAGAAGGAACAAAATTCTCATAATTATCTTCTTCTCTGGTCAAAATGCTTATGATTGCTGGCTCAGTACAAGTGAAACTGCATATGGTAATCTAGCACTATAGAGATGATGGCTACATTTAGTCAATAACATTATGGGGGCAGCCATGCACTATTTCACCATTTTGCTTTATAAAAAGCTGTGTGCAACATGTATTCATGAGCATGATGTCTTATTCATAATCTTTACTCTCGATATTTTGGTCTTGTATCTGTTTGAAATGAAGGATTTTGATATTTCAATTTACTGTTGTGTGGTAATTCTCTAATTTCTGAAACTTATTTCTCCTTTGCAGGCTGCTTGTGGAGAGTTGCGGAACAGCAGAATGTTTCTGAAGCTTTTGGAGGCAGTATTAAAAACTGGGAACCGCATGAATGTTGGCACCAACCGCGGTGATGCCCATGCCTTCAAGCTTGACACACTCTTAAAGCTTGTTGATGTGAAGGGCACTGATGGGAAAACCACACTTCTGCACTTTGTTGTGCAGGAAATCATCAGAGCTGAAGGTTCTCGCCTTTCCAGTGTCAATCAGAACATGAAAGCTGAGAAAATTCAGCAATCTAATTTTCAGGATGATGTTGAATTTAGGAAGCTCGGCCTGGAGGTTGTTTCTGGTCTAAGTGGGGAGCTGACCAACGTAAAGAAGGCTGCTGCTATGGATTCAGATGTTCTCAGTATTGAAGTTGCAAAACTTGCTACTGGTATCTCTAAAATCAGAGAAGTCATAAAATTAAATGAAGAGATTGTGCTGAAAGACAGCAGCCGTAAATTCTTTGAGTCAATGAATGAGTTCCTGAAGAAGGCGGAGGAAGATATTGCCAGGATCCAAGCCAAAGAGAGAGTCACTCTCTCTATGGTGAAGGAGATAACAGAGTATTTCCATGGGAATTCAGCTAAGGAAGAAGCTCATCCTTTCAGGATTTTTATGGTCGTGAGGGATTTCCTCTCCATTCTTGATCAAGTGTGCAAGGAAGTTGCCAAGGTCAATGAGAGAACAATATACAGCTCGGCGCGTCCATTGCCAAATCCTACCCATCTTCCAGTTTTTCCTGGACTCAATGTAAGGCAGCATTATGGTTCCTCTGACGATGAAAGCTCATTACCCTCATCATAGTTCCTGATCAATGTCTCACATCTCCATATGTGCTTGCGGGTAAATCTTATTGTCCTCATCATGAATCTTATATCTATCTAACCAGGTCCCATTTCAGAATGCAGCCGTCATTGCAAACATGTGTCTGAATCTCAACATATATAATGTAATATCTTTTTGGTTGGCTAAATTTGTACTTGAATATATCGACCTACAGGATTTTGGAAGTTGTTTTGCTATGTGTAATATACAGGATGAAATAAAGCAGCATAGCTAAAAAGGGTTTGATCCATCTTGTAAATAAAGTAGTGACTCTAAATTGAAGTTTATGTTCAATGATAGAAGCATAATGGTTGGTGCCTGCTAAATATATATTTTTTGTACTAGAATTAGAAATAAGATGTGGTGGCTACCGGGGATGCCGGTTTCTTCTTGTGGCTGAGAGGGCTTTGCACAGTCCTGGTTTGATCTGGCTCTTTACTTTTTTCAACACAGGAGGTAAGGCTTGAGAAAAGAGATTTTGCATGGGTTGGGATGGAATCTGAATCATTTGGGCTAAGGTTCAGGTTCTCTTTTAGGAAAAAGAATTGTTCTTCAAGCTGTGTATGGTAAGTGGCAGATGCTTTCATTCTACGAGCAGTTTCCACTTTCTCTATTCTCAATTGCATGTTTAATTTTTAATAGCGTTCAACAGATCGAATTTTGATGGGTAGAACTAGAACTAAAACTTCAGCAATTTAAAAATTATATTACAAAATTATCCAAATTAATTAGAATTTTGCGTTATAGCTGAATTGGAACTTACGTCGATGAAATTGAGATTCTATTTTAGTCATTTTCCTTACACCTTTTTCCTTCAGTTGTTTGGCTAATATTTTTTAGTAAGGAATAATGATTTCATGAAATGTTAATTTTTTAAAAATAAAAAATAGTAATTCTTAACTCTCTCCTAAGAATTACAATTCCCGTCTCCTCAGGAACTGATAATATTATTTATTAGATAATTTTATTTTTATATATTCAATTAATTCTAATTTTACCCTTTCGTATTTAATTAATCATAATTATATAATTATTAATATTATTTTATTTTAATTAATTAAATAATATTGATTATAATATTTAATTTGATAATAAATTAATCAATATTATTTTAATATAATTAAATAATAGTAAATACTAAAATATTATTAAATTAATATTTAATATTAACAGAATATTAAATTAATATCCCATATTAAAAATCATTAAATTAAATATTCAATATTCAATAGAATATTAAAATATTTTGCCACAATAATATAATAGAATAAGTTATTATTGTTAGATTAATATTTCTTTTTAAAATATTATTAAAATAATATTAAAATTTAAATATATTAGTTTAATGATTAATATTAAATATTATAATATTGTTAATATTAAAATATAATTCAATACTAAATTACTATTAAATTAATATTTAATATTAAAAATATATTTAAATAATATGATAGATTAAAATATTCTTAAATTAATATTGAAATATAAAAATACAATTTAAAATAACAATAAAATATTGAAATATTATACTAATACTTAATATTATTATATAATAAATATTAAATTATCAGCATAATAAATAAAATTAGTATTAAATTAATATTTAATATTATTTAAAATTTAAAACTTAAAATGATTAATTTAATATTAATATTTCATTTTTATATTCAATTATTATGAATTTTTATTCATTTTATTGATTAATAATTTTATAATAAATTATAAGAATGAAATGATCTTTTAAATTTATTCCTTTTGAATTAATCAAACATATTAATGATAATGCCTTCTTTATATATCAAACAAATTAATATTAATTCATTCTCTATTCCATTTTTATGAATAAAATTTAATAATATATTTTATTTTATTTCTCTTATTTTTTATTTCCACAAAATATTAATTCCATTTTTTTTTTCTATTTCATTCCGCCAAAGAACCGTATAAAAAAATTGCAGGAAAACATCTGCAAATTTTAAAAAATCGGGACTAGACTATAAATCTGCAAAGCGTTGAGGCAAAAGGAAAATTTTATTGGGGCAGAAGTGTAAATAGCCTAGATTTACACTTTCCACTGGAATATTCAGTCAATAATCCCCTTCTTCCTCAATCGATGCGAATTTTTTTCTCGGAAAGATGACAGAAGATTCAAAAGCGGAATGAAAAAAGAGCCCCAATAAAGGAAAAAGAAGGTAAAATTCAGCCAAGAAATTAAAATAAAAGAAGTGGAAAATTATTATTACGGAGAATGAATCAGAAAGAACGTAGCGAGGAGATTTTTGATCATATGAAAAATGTTAATCATCACCCGTCCATTTCTTTCATCATCTTCATCATCAAATCAAATCAAAATCAATCAGAAAAGAAAGAGGATCTCGTTGATGATAGAATAGGAGATCATCGAAAACCCTGAGCGACAGAATAAGAAGGGTAGAAAAGAAAATCGGCAAGGTCTGGCTTTATAAGGGAGATGGATTGAAGCCCTAGAGAGTGAAGTCGCCGCCACCTTTTTCTACAAGTCCGATTGTTTGGTAACGGGGACAGTGTTGTTCTTGGTAACACTTTAAGCTTGTTTGGCTCACAAATTGACAACCCTTAATAATTTCCAGAGTACAGTTTCATTGAGATTACTAAACTCACATGTTTTTCTTAATTTTCCATACAAACTTTAAGTCGTTTGGCTCACCATAATGTTGATTTTTTCCAAAATTACAAAAAAAAAAAAAACACGTTTTCAGATACTATCCATCAGCACATCCTTGTTCGTACAATTGCGAGTAGACCTTACATAAATAATTATTAATGGAAAACCACATACAATGAGATTGAGACAAACCACAAAATTAAACTAAAATCTGGACTTAAAATGGAGAAACCAATAAACCCGTCTGAAAACCGCTTACTACAATAAATTTTTATCCATTATGCTTACTTTTTCAACTGTTTGTTTCTTTTTTAGGAATTCAATGTATAAGATGGAGAAACCAAACTGAACTTTTGGACAGAAAGAAATTTTCTTTCTTGTTTGACAAGGCTAAACAAGAAAGAAAATTTTCAATCACTTTGTCTGCAAGCAAAGGGGCCAAAAATTTCGTGTCCAACAAGTATCGTCCTATCCAAATTAGTAGTGCAAAAATAAACTAAAAATATATGCACATTTTTACTATGGAAAGTGAGCCTGCTACTTAGAAATCACTTTAACAGTAATTTAACAAATTAAAAAAAAAATCAAATTTCGCCAATAATTTTATTTTTTTTTTATTTTCAAACTGTAATTTCGCATTGCATTTAAGAAAAAAATTTGGAGAGAAATGAAAAAAAGATAGGATATGAGTAAACCCTTTGTGAAAATATAAAAATTTTTAAGTGTAAAGATAATTTCCCTATTCATAAATCCAAATTATCTCATCAAGTTAGTATTGGGGTGCAATAAGCATTATACTTTTACCATTGTTTTTCAGTTTCCAACTTTTTTAAACAAAATTTTAAATTAAAAGAATTTTTGAAATGTGGGCTGCTACATCAACATCACAATTCACAAGTAGATGAATTCTTGCAGTTGACAATGATCTCTTGTGCTTAATTTCTCTTATAAATAGCTGAACCGAATATTCTATAAGCAGCAAAAGTTGAAAACCAGGGGAAAGTAGCCATACTGAGACAAGGAAGACAAAGAGATGGAGAGCAAGGGTTATAATGGGCATGTGCTAGTAGTTCCATTCCCAACCCAAGGTCACATTAACCCAATGCTCCAATTCTCCAAGCGGTTGCTCTCCAAAGGGATCAAGGCCACCCTAGCCATTACCCTCTTTATCTACAAATCCATAAACCATGAATCCTCTGCCTCTGTTCAAATCGACACAATATCTGACGGCTGTGATCAAGGCGGCTTTGCGGAAGCCGATGGTGTCCAGGACTACATCAAACGACTGGAAACTGTTGGTTCAAAGACCCTAGCTGAACTCATTTTGAAACACAAAGAATCTTCTAACCCTGTTGATTGCATAGCATATGATGCTGCAATGCCTTGGGCTCTTGATGTAGCCAAGCAATTTGGCTTAATCACAGCTCCCTTTTTCACTCAAATGTGTGCAGTTGATTATATATACTATAATGTTCATCATGGCCTACTTAGTCTCCCAGTTTCTTCGACGCCTGTTTCGCTTCCAGGATTGCCATTGCTTGAGCATGGAGACTTGCCATCCTTTCTCTGTTCTTCAGAAGGGTCATATGCAGCTTATTTGAAGAGGGCGTTGAACCAGTTCTCTAACTTGGACAAAGCTGATTGCATTCTTGTCAATACCTTCTACAACTTAGAAGACGAGGTTAGCTTTTCACCCACCTGTTTACAGTCATGAATTCAAAATCAGCAGTGATTTCCTCGACTCAAATTGAACTTACATACTTGGATAAGTAATATATAGAGACATTTTAATAATGTAGAGGAATAGGTATATGAGATTTACCACAATGAAAATAACCAAGAACTTATTTTACGTCAACAGGTGGTGGATTCAATGTCTAAAGTGTGTCCATTGCTGACTATTGGTCCAACAGTTCCATCAATCTACTTGGATAAACGTATCCCAGATGACAAAAATTACGGTGTCAATCTCTTCACATTAGACTATTCTACCAGCATCAACTGGCTAAGCAGCAAGCCACCAGGGTCTGTGATTTATGTTGCCTTCGGCAGTGTGACTTGTCTAAACAACGAGCAAATGGAGGAAGTTGCATGGGGTTTAAAGCAAAGCAACTGCTACTTTTTGTGGGTCGTAAGGGCGACAGAGGAAGAGAAACTCCCGAAGGAGTTCAAAGAAGAAACCGTTGATAAGGGTTTAATTGTTAACTGGAGTCCTCAATTAGAAGTGCTATCAAATGAGGCCGTTGGCTGTTTTTTAACACATTCTGGATGGAATTCAACGACTGAAGCATTGAGCTTGGGAGTTCCAATGGTGGCAATGCCACAATGGACTGATCAGCCGACAAATGCTAAGTTTGTCGAGGATATATGGAAGATGGGAGTCAGAGTTAAGGCTAATAATGATGGGATCGCCAGTAGAGAACAGATTGCATCTTGCATAATGCAAGTGATGGAGGGAGCGAGAGGGAGAGAAATGAAAGAAAATGCTAAAAAATGGAGGGACCTTGCTGTAGAGGCAATGAGTAAAGGAGGAAGCTCAGACAAGAACATCGATGAATTCGTGTCAAAGTTGACAGACAAGAACTTGGCTGATAATTAATTTGAAGGAGAGTAAAAAGTCGAATGCTAGCTAGAATAAAAAATCTAAGTAATGATGTTTCTTTAAACAGTTAAGCTTTCAAATTCCAGGAATAATGTTATGAATGCTCCTAACATAACTGTTGATCTTCAAGGAGAAGGCAGGAGGGGAGGAGTTGTTTTATTTAAATGTGATTCCACAGATACCTAAAAATTCTTCAGGTCAGGTCTTTTAAGTCTGCTACTTTCCATATGATCCATAAACAACTGGGCCTTTTCCTTTTGGTAATGAAACCCAAGGCATCTCAACACAGCAGAGCAAGATAAGTAATTAAAAAAGATTACAATGTTGAGAAATCACGGTATAGGTCACAACTGACAAGCTATAAATCTATAAACTATATATAAAAAGTATCCCAAAGAGCTTTTGAAATAGGCTGCTGTATTTCATAATAAAATGACCATATTAACTTTTGGTTAAAGGATTTGAAACACAAATATGGTAACAGCAAAAGGAATGCTCGTTTTTTTATGAAAAGAGGTTGACCCATTATAAATAATCCATTCTAATTGGAAAAAAAAATAGTTTATTTTTATTATTTTTTAGTAACATTTTGAATTCGTTAGAAATATTTTTTTAACTTTTATTTACATATATGTATTTTATATGTTACTTCAAATAGCAAAGATAGAACCAATATCATCAATACCATTATATTAAAGTTATCCTATTGAATCTAAAGCTTTTATTTAGATTTTTGAGCTTCAATTTTTAAACAATTAACACTTGCCATAAATAATGATTGATTTGAGGTTTGAGAGTTAATTAAGATATAGAATAATATGAGTATAGTTGAATTTGACTTTGCTATTATTTTTATCTTTTTACGTATTTGTCTTTTTCTTACATTAGAAATTAAAAAAGGAAAGAGTTTTATGAAAAAATAATTATTATGTGATCATAGTTATTATGTAATTTATAATAACTAAATTAATAATAGTAAAACATATAAAAAATAAATATTATTTAAAGAAACAATTAACATTTGATTTGATTTAATTTAAATTAATTTAAATATTAATTAAATAATTAAATATTAAAAAAACTTTAGCTGTTTGATTCCTAAATTAATGTTTGTCGAAATATCTAGGTTGAAACTTTTAGAGTTAATTAATCTATTTCATAAACTAATGATTCCTAACCTAAGGCTCGGAATTTAAAAACAAAAAATCATCAACAAATGTTTGTTGAAATATGAAAAATGTCATAAAGATTTGAAAATGTTTGATGTTTTCAACCTGCAATTCATCCTATTTTAAAGAAAAGAAAGAGGGAAAAAAAAAGAAAGAAGAGAGAATACATGATAAATTTGAAAGCAAATGATAATTATTCAAATGATGAAAATTTTAAAAATCACAAATGGTTGATTTTTCTTAAAAAAATTTTTTATGTGAAATTTTTTCTAAATTTGACTTAAATGATATAAAAGTTTAGAGAAAATTTCAATAATAATAATAATAATTGGTATTTATTTTCAAGCCAATGCATTTTGTATTATATAATTTATAAATAATTATTTTTCATATATTTAATTTTTTAATTAATAAAATATAATTATATTAATATCAATATAAATAAAATTCCTCAACGAAGCGAAGGGTATCAATTAGTTTACATGAAAAGGATCCCTTTAATTTAAGCTAGACATAGCAATAAAATAATAGAAACATTATGATAATTAAAGACTAGTCGTTCACATTATGTTTAAATGACACTATGGAAATAAAAAAACCATTAAAAAGGCTTTTATTAAGGAGGCGTTTGGTTCAAAAAAAAATTAGATTATCTTTAAGAATCTTATGTAGTGCTTGGTTTCAAAAAATAAAATCATTTTCTATTTTCATTTTCTTGGAAAATGAAAAATATGAGTGAAAATGTGTTTGATAATTGAAAATGAAAACAAATTTTTAGAAAATAAAAATAAAAATGGGTTGAAATATGAAAATAAAAAAAAGATGTTTTCAATTGTGAAAACAAAGGATATTCATTACTTTTTTCTTATTTTTTGCAAGTTATCATATTTAAATACTTTTTTAGTGTTATTAATTAATTAATATATAAGATATTTATAATTAGATGCCATGAATAATAATATCATTAAATATTTTATTTATTTTCTTATTTTTTTCATTTCTAGAAAAAAATTTTTATTTTCATTTACCAAATAAATTTTTAGAAAACAAAAAATAGAAAATAAAAATTATTTTATAAAAAATGAAAATAAAAAATATAAACAAAAAACATTTTGTTAAACCAAACAGAGCCTTACTTTTCTTAACTTGATTCTTTAGTTTGGTTCACAATAATTGATTTTTAGGAGTATTCTAAGATTTCAAATAGCTTAGAATTAGAAATTTACCTCTCCCTAAGATTTTTTAAGATTTCGAGAGAAGTGCAAAATTTCTCACTTTTGACATCAATAATAATTTTTATGATCTATTTTACTCTTAAAAATAAATGTAATTGCATGATAAATCAAGACCTATTCTAACACGTAAACCTGCATTCTTAGCCTTTTTTTTATATATAATTAATAAAACATAACATTTTTTTATATAAAAAACATAATTGTTGTTGGTAAAGTATAATAAAATATTTATGATATTTTAATTATGTTTTCATGTAAAAAATATAATATTTGATTTATCAAATATTGCGTTTATAACAGTCAAAACATCATGTTTGTTAAATATTTTTTTTTTATGATTTATCCAACACAATGTTGTTATATTAGAAATGTGGTCATATGTTATAATATGTTATAAAAAATTAATTATAATAAAAACAACGTTTTAAAACAAGTAGTCGATTTGTTGAAAAATATTAAATTTGAATTTTATATAGTTTTAGTAGCACTGCGTTTTTAATTTATGAAACATAACTACTCGTAAAAAATAATTTTTTCAAAAAAAAAACATAATTTTTGTTGAAAATATGAGAAAAAATTTTCTTTAATTCAACAAAGATGGCACTTCTAAGATAAAAAAGTAATTTTTATTGAAAAGATGATATTTTAAAAAAAAAAACGTAATCTTTGTTGAAAATACGATGTTTTTAAGTTAAATATATTTTCCATTACTATAAAGCTTGATTATCCTAAACAAATGAAAAACATAAATAAAAATACAATAGGATTCGATAAAAAATGTTTATCTTTCTATCTGTCCTTTTATTAACAATACAAAATGTTTTCCAAATAAAATAAAGATTCCTACTTTGTTTGAAAAAAAAGAAAAAAAACAAAAATTTTCTACGCAAACAACATAAAATCACAGAGAACCAGACACAGAGAGTTTGGATTTTTTTTTTAAAGGAAAGAAAGAACTAGGTTATAGCCAGCTTGAGGACTTTTCCAATTGTGAAGGAATTTGAGAGAAAGTGGGACCTAACCAACTTTTTATAAAGCTTAAAATTTTCTTAGCTGTTAGTAATAGCAAGAGAAGATTGATGATTGCAAAAGAGAGAGTTTTGTAGAAAGGTGGGTTGATCCTAGCTTTTTAAGCTTCAATTTCAAACTTCTCTCTTAGATTTACAGGCAATATGATAGGTATTAAGGAAAGAGTAAAAGCTGATAAAAAAGAATGTAACTTGCTATAAAGAGTTATCGATCTTAAAATTAAATAAAAAAAACTTTGTGTGATAGAGGTCTTCACGTGGGTATAGGAAGAAGCAAAAAAAACAAAGAAAGAGAGCAATGAAACGGTGCCACATGGATAACTTTAGGAGAGGTCAATGTTAACATGCTATCAAATCTTGGTTTTTTTTATGTCAAAGACTGTGTTTCTTGTGTAAGAAACATGATCTCTGTGATTCAAACACTAAAAATATATATATATATATAATTTAAATAATTTTTTTAAATTTAATTTTTTTTATTCATTACCAATTATGTTTTAAAACAAAACATATGATCTTTATCAACAATATTTTCAAATTAATAAACGTGATTTTTGTTAGCAAAATATGATTAAAAAACCATGGTCTTCTGAAAATTTTTTTTAATCAAAGTCCATGTATTAATTTTTACAAATGTAATCTTCAAAAATATTTTTTTTCCAATCAAAGAGAACATTTCCATTTTATAAAACATAGTGATAAACAAATTATTTATTCCCAAGCAAACACTACGTGTTAACTTTCATAAATGTAGTAATTAAAAAACATATTGCTTTCTAAAATTAAAAAAAATTCAAAAACATAAATTATAGTAATCTATTATGTTTGCTCTTTTAATAACTATCTCTAAAATTTACAACTTAAATCTTTCACCTACCCCTATCTCATATTCACTTCCATTAAATCAAATAACAACTACCTGATTCTTTTTCTATATATTTAGAAAGCAAAAAAAAAAAAATAAAATCAAAAAGTAAAAATAAAAGAAGAACCACAAAACAACCATGTGTCACTCCTAATAAAGAATCTTACGTTCTGTATATTTGTAAAATTTATCTTATGGATTAGCTAATAATTATTATTTGGGGGAAGGGACCGGTCTAAAGAGTTGATACATTTTGTAATTTTTTTTTGTAAAATTAATTTTTTATAGTAATTAAATAAACACGTGATAACATTTTAACATTATTAGTAGCATTTAAAAAGTTTGCTTCATTGTTGTAGAGAATAATAAATCTTTTTTATTTTTACTATAAAATAATTAAAAACGGTTATTAATAATGATTTTTAAAGTATTTGTTTAATTTTAAAGTAAATAAAGATATTAAAGGTAAAAAAAATGACAAAAGGGAATTAAACTAAGATAATATTAATTTATAAGACAAATGGATTAAATTAAAGGATAAATTTATCATCATATTATAAGTGAAGATTGAGATTTTAGAAACTATTACCAAGTCTATTTTTACCCGCAACCAAAAGTGAGTAAAAAATTAATTAATACATTATGAAAAAATAAATTTACAACAATGAGAAAAGAACCTCTAATCCAAAAAAAAAAAAAA